GAGAGAGAGAGAGAGAGAGAGAGAGAGAGAGAGAGAGAGAGAGAAATTGGCGTGGGGCACGATTATAGACATTGATGGCTAATTGGATGCATTATGTTTCAAATGTGGGACGAAAACGGGTGAAATAGCGGGCCAGGAAAGTGTGACGAAAGTGGGTTGTGAAACAGAGATGTGGAACGAAAACTGGTGCACCGCCTTTTCTCCCCTCTTGAACTTGAACAATAAATTCCAAACCTTTAACTTTGAGAGGTGCGGGCCTCAGATAGAAGAGCCTTCCGTTCAACCAAGTCAGAGATCCCCGCTGTACCTCTCTCAAAAATCGATTACCCTACACTTATTCTAAAATTAATCAGACAGCTCGTTCTCTGTCTCGAGTGGTTTCTTGATTCAACGTCAATGCTACGTCACCGAGCGGCTTTGATCAACAACACCCACCCCCCCCCCCTTTTTCCCTCCACCTTTTGAACCCTAACCCCTTTTTCCACCCTCCTCTTTTTATGTTGCGTCAATAAGAGAAGTTTTTGGGGGTTTTTTTAACTTTCACTTTCATCTACCCCGTTAGTATCGCTGACCGCTGGGGCATCACTGTAGATTTTGCAACCAGCTTCATCCATTCTTCATGGTTCTCAGCGTTCTGTGTGTGTGTGTGTGTGTGTGTATGTGTGTGTGTGTGTGTGTGAGTGTGTGTGTATGTGTCAGTCAACTGTTCAGAACTGTCTTCTTATCATTTCTTCTGTCTGCCTCTTCGCCTCCCTCCTTGTGTTGTTCCCTGTTCATTCGTCTTGGCCAGAACTGATAATCGTGTGACGTGTCAGTACCACTGAAGTATGAGTCTTTTAACTGAAGTCAGGTGGTTCATAAAACACTAAGACAACACAAATAATACTACTTAAAGGCAATAACTGTTCACTTTGCTTGAGACGCTTTTGAAGTCCCCGCACAGTGCAGATTCAATAAACTTATCAAGTTGACGTGCTGATCTTGAAGTACTTGAAGTAACATTTCTACGAACTTTGAGAGGGGCAGGCAGGTTGGGGTAGCTTTTATATGGCTGTGAAGTCATTAACGTAAAGAATGATAAATAGATACTCTGTCTGCGTTTTCGAACTCGAGGGTTCGTGCGAAGAAGAAAAGAATAGGAGAAAGTGGAACTTGAGTTGGGATTGATTTCAATAGAAAATTTTAATAATTTTTTTAATATACTTGAGGACTGTTCCTGAATTTGATAAGAATTAAGTGCCTAGCTCAGCGAAAGTGCTCTCTTGTCACGACAAGTTAACTTATATAAGGCACAACTGTTGGGGCGAGATCTAGATGAGTCCTGCTCTGACGTGGTCGGAAATTCAACAAGCTACTTCCTCATCGACCTATGAAAAAAAAAAGCGCAAAAAAACCAAAACCACAATGACAATGACAATCTTTATTCATCTCTCAGGGAGAGATTTGTCTTGGTCGTTTACAATGGCAGTGGAGTGTTACAAAGGTTAGGTGCACTCACGCATGCATACAACAAGACAGAACATTAGTAAAAATTCATGTTTAAGGGGTGAAACAACCCGCTCCGCAAAACATTCTCTCTCTCTCTCTCTCTCTCTCTCTCTCTCTCTCTCTCTCTCTCTCTCTCTCTCTCTCTCTCTCTCTCTCTCTGTCTCTCTCTCTCTCTCTGTCTCTCTGTCTCTCTCTCTCTCTCTCTCTCTCTCTCTCTCTCTCTCTCTCTCTCTCTGGGGGGGGTGAGAGAGTGGGAATAAAGGGGATGAGAGTGTGTGTGTGTGTGTGTATGTGTGTGTTTGTGAGTGTGAGTGTTTTACACTCCCAGAAAAAAAAACTAGAAATACTCCAACATAGTGCCTTTCTGTTCTACTTCTTCTAACATTAAAATTTATTTTGATACCAAGGAAAAGCGTGATACATATTGTATTTCTCTAAATTCGAGCACATGTTTATAAGTCCATTAACCTCAAGAAAAACTTTTTTTAAGATCCTCCAGTAGGAACCTTTTTGCATTGGTGCAAGGTTTTCCTCTTGCATCGACATATTATGTAGGCTTATGTGATTTTTCAGAAGCCGCACCCCCCCCCCCCCTTCCCGGTCACTGAACTGTTAGTCCAGGGAGCGGCGCAGCGGCGAGTAGCTATTGTATGTTTGAGAAATTGTTCTGTGTTGGTGTAATATTATGTTTTTTTGCATGTACGTATGCATTTATGTATGTATTTATAATTATGCATTTTTGTATTTATGTTTGTCATTGTAACCCAGATTTCCGCACGAGGAATCAGTAAATAAATTTTATTGCTATTATTCATAGTTAGGTCGGTGCTTGCCAACATGACAGCCAAAAAGCAAACGGTGTACGGTTTTCAATAAATGTACAATATAATGGGTTTTTTAAATGACATGTACCTATTTATTTGAAACAATGTGTACCTGAGCACTGCTTGGAATTATCAAGTAAAGGTAAAGAATAATTAGAATTCACTTTCGTTTTTTTTTTTCTTTTGCCCCACAGGAATGTAGCTGGACTCATGACGTGACAGACAGATGTCGGGAACTTCGTCCCTGAGAGATCAAGAAAAAAATTAATATGAAATAGATCTTTTTGTTGAAACGGCGATTGTTCTGAGAATGTTTACGTCGGAATTCTGAGTGGTAAAACAGATTTTTATTATACTAAAAAGAAATCGTTGTCCGAACTTGGATGAAAGATTGCAACTCAAGCAGTGAGCATTTTGTCTTGCCATAGTCTGAGAATAACGACAACAACGAAAACAATAACGACAACAACGATTACAACAACGTCGACGACAGCAACAACAAGAGCAACAACAGTAACAACACCAACAACTTCAAACTTGATCAAATCCTTTTCCCATCATTTTGACATGCGGAAGAAAACATAGGCACCTCCGGCTGATTTGGTCGTGCACACTGAAGTCGGAGACATTCAATAAATGAGCAGATGGACCTAACAGCCACTGTGTCATCTGTTTCCATGATCGTAAAGTAAAGGTGAGTGTCTTTCCTGAATAAATTCGACGAAGAACAGTGAGTACAAAAGCGGAGGTGACTGTAGTTCTTGGAAAAGGAATGGGGAACAAAAATTAAAGTATGCTTTCCCGGGTGACAGACATAAATCACTGGATCCATGCAGTCTTGAGATCTACCCCCCATGCTCCCACAGACAGACACACAGACAGACACACAGACAGACACACACTCACACACACACACACACACACACACACACACACACACACACACCTCAGTTATGACTTTTAGCTGCTTTTCAGTTCCAACCCACAGTATTTCAATATCTTATCTGCGAGCTAAGCCACTGTATCGTCGCACAGTGCCACACCAGCATTTATCTCAAAGTGGATACCTTGCTCTGGGAGTTGCGTGAATCATCGGGCTATCTTCGGGATTACTTCCTTGCCTGTATGTCGTTGATCCTTTAATCTTCCAGCTTGGCGTCTACAATAGCATTTACCTTCACCGAGGTCCACTTATAGGGCGAGGCATATCAACTGTCTTGATAAGTATACAATATTTTGACACCTAGGGGTTAGGCAAGAAGGCCAGGAAAGAAGCGTGTGGCTTCAATAAGAACGTTTCTGATTTGTATGTGGAAATGTAGTGAGACAGGGTGCATTGTTAGTTTTGCTAGCATGCTGAACGGAAGAGCAGATGTCCCAGGTTCGAATTCCCAATGGGGAGTTCTTGACTTGGGTTATTATTGGCTCTCGTCCAACATGACTATGGTCTATCGGAATAGGCATTAAATTCGGAGATCCCACTTCTTGAATAAACAGGCAGTTTTGAAAGGGGCTTGACACCTATATAATTTTGTCTTTTTTTCATTGGGAAACGAGTATGAAACAAAGGCATGAAGGGTAGATCACTTAAGATTCAAACTAGCAGTATTTAAAGTTTGGTTGTTGTTGTTTTTTTCTGGAACCATGGTGACCTGCCGGCAACTCGATTTCCGGATTATCAAAAAGAGAAAAATGAGGGGGAAAAGGGAAGAGGTTTTTGTGTTTTGCCAAGTTAATAATGTGTTGTAAAGTGAATAAGATATTCTGAAAGGGTTATATTTGCTCTTTGATAACATGCATTAATTTAAACATTTTAGAATTTAAAAAGGATACTGTTTCTTAATATCAAATTCACAATTACAGATTTACAAAACACAAGTAAACACAATATATATTCTATATAAGGTATCTTTGCATGTGTTCAAGTATTATAATATATTACAACAAAGTATTCCACTGGCAGGTCCTTAAATTGCTCTCGCGGGTTCACAAGTATAGTCAATAGAAGACACCGATTTATCCTTTTGAAATTCTGAAGATGTTTTTATGTTTTTACAATTCGCATCCTTTTTCCTTGATTCTCAAATCATAAAAGATCACTAGGGTCACGATGATAAAAGGTTTAGCTGAAGACACCGAACAACTAGTCCGGCGTTTTATCAGAAATAGAGGGCACAATGCCATACGGTGCTCATTTAACAGTTTGTCAGCCTATGTAATATAATGCATTCAAGGATTATGTCTGTTAAGCTTCAATAATAGACTTGTATTGTGATATCCTACACTTTGCACTCTGGTGTATTTCTGGTTTACCACGAAGCGCACCTTTTGAACCCAATGAACGCCAGTGGAGAATGGTGCCACGAGCTCTCGACTACAGGGAGACAGGTCGTGGTGGTTTGTTTTTTATTTAGGCGTAACTGCACGGCTGATTGCGCGCACGACTTGCAGCTAGGTTTTTATTTTTAAAAGCGAAGGGTGGCAGCCATAACAGTGCGCAGCCTAGGGGGACACGTATATGGCTTCAAAATACTCCCAGTCTCGTCATGATATCAGAGATAAGAACATGGATTATAGCAGTTTGCGGTTTCACAAGCTAGGATTCCAACCCTGAAGGAACACATCAACTAGTGTTTGTGGTGTAGTAGTTAGACATACCACTGTTGCACACAGAAAATAGGTGAGTTCGATACTCGAGTGGAGCAGTAGTGAAATTATCACGTTCTTACTTGCAGTCTCCCTTTTTCTATGCTTTCTCTTTCACTAAAAGGAAATGTCATGGGAAACATACCAGGTACCACCCCCCCC